GTTCAATTTTTGTTCATCTTTCAGTTCAAAACATAAAAGAGAAAAGTGGTGTAAGATGAGTGGTGTAGGATGAGTAGTGTAAGATAGGTGGTGTGAGTTGAGTGGTGTAAGATGAGTAGTGTAAGATGGGTGTTGTTAGATAGATGGTGTGAGTTGAGTGGTGTAAGATGAGTGGTGTAAGATGAGTGGTGTCAGATGGGTGGTGTGAGATAGGTGGTGTAAGATAGGTGGTGAAAGTGTAAGATGGCGGGCGGCTGGAGGTTTCGGAACGGCGGGCACAGAGCGACAAGCAAGAACCCCACATAGTGATGTGGGGAACTATGAAAAAATGAGGTCCGACGAGTGTAAGAAAGTTGGTTTTGACAGTTGTTTTTCCGTTTTCGTTGCTTCTGAAAACTTGCTCCAATGAGCGGTCAAATTTGGGACATGTTTGTGCCAATCTTTGACGATCTTGGTACATTCTTGGGACAGCTCTCTTGAAGCTTTTCGTGGAGGTATGTTTGAAGTTATTGGGGCCGTGGGTCTAGATCAGGGCAATGTTGAAGGCTTTGCTGCTGTTATGTTACTTGTTTTGCGGCCATGCTTGGCTGTTTTTTTCTCTGCCGTTTGACTCAGGCAGGTGCGTAGTGTGCGTAAAACACCATAAAAACCATGATCAATCAGGTCCGACAAGTGTCAAGAAAGTTGGTTTTGAGAGTTTTTGGTCGTTTTTGTTGCTTATGAAAGCTGGCTCCAGTGAGTGGTCAAATTTGGGGCACGTTTGTGCCTTCGGCGATCTTGGTTCTTAGGCCACATCCTTCTCCATGTTGGCACGTTTCGCCCAATGTTGGGGCTCTCTTGAGGCTTCTCGTGGGGGTATGTTGAAGATTGGGGCCGTGGGATCTAATTATGTTGAAGGCTTTGCTGTTATTGTACTTTTTCACCTGCAAACAGACACCTGATCTGGCCAACAAAAATGTTGCTGCTCCGCTTTCCGTGTTTTTCCGAACTGGTTTGCAGAAAGGTGGACATGATGGGCTCTGGCCATGAACATGCTTTGGGCTCAGTGTTTTGATGGATCAAAGATCTTAAGAAGTTGATGTGCATGAAAAGGTACCCGGTACATGAAACTGATCAAATCTAGGCACCCCACAATTCCTCAATGTGGATCACACTGAGTTTCTGTTCTTTTGCGCATCTATCATTGAATAGACGTACTGTAGTGTATTTGAGGGTTTCTTTACTCACCCCTGAAGGTCTTGACTCAATGCTTCAGCATGGTTGAACCGCCTCCCTTGGTTTGGGGTGCCCAGAACGTCGTACCACTTTGGTTGACAGTGATGAAGGACCGTGAATCATTGAGTCATTGAGGGAAGAAAGGCACTAGCACCAGTTGGTACTTGCAACTTCTCCTTAAGAAGTGGTGCAGACGGAAATTGGGACTCTCAAAGGAAGATGCAGCATTGGTTTGTGTTGTGAGAATCAATCCTTCTGTGGCTTGTTGCAGGCCTCTCAGGTCATATCACTGTCTGTCTACGCTGACATTCCAACCTCTTGGTGCTGCCTTTTCTGCCTTGGACAGAATTCTGGAGAGTTCCAGCCAGACCCAGCGATGTGATGGGGTGGGGTCATGTCCACAAACCAACAAGCACTTCGATTTTGCCCTTCCAAGCCTTCAGGCTCCCCAATTGCAGTGAAGGACACTTGCTTTTGTTTGCGTTGTTGAAGCGGGGCCATGGATGCTCTTCTTGTGGTGGCCACCATCGGCGTTGTGTGGATTCCAGTGCATGCGTACTTGTCGAAAACCGATTTGGCAGACCTGCGACAATGGGTCGTGTGGGTGACAAGTCAGAGGGGCGAACTGGATGGATCCAAAAAACAATTTGTTGAAGACGAGATGCAAAAACTTCGGTGCTGGAACTATCAGTGCCTCAGCCGTTTCTACCCTCACATCGATTTGATAACAGGCCTCGCACTCTGGCACCAAGCGATTGCAGCGCCTGATCCGGACGACATCATTTGGGCAATCGTTTGTACATTTCATTATTTTCAGCACCTAGCTTTCAATCACAACTTGGTAGAATTGACGCCTTCTCGACTGAAGTACCTTGGGTATCTCATGCATACTGCGCTGCTTGTGATGATTCTGAGTGCAGCCTTGGCTGAGAGTTGTGCGAAGCTTGCAGTGTCGCAAAGCCTCCACGCTATCAGTCGGGTTGCCTTGGTTCTTACATTTTTGGACCCCTCGATCTCCATTCCTTTCCAAGTTCTTTTCACTGCAGCTGAGATACTTGCTTGCTTTTGGGCTTTCGATTTGTCGACGAAGGAGGTTATACCCTTCTGCTTGACGCAACTCTTCATGAGTACATTCACTGCAATCTTCTCACTTTTGATCGACTCAATGTTGAAAGGGCGCATTTGTGCACTTTTGGAAACTGCGGATGCGGAGTCCTTGGTATCCAGCTTCCAGCGGATGTTGCACGGGGTTTGTGATGGTGAAGTGCTGCTAGACAGTGATATGAAAGTGGCCCAGGAAAGTGAGGGCTTGAAGCATTTAATTTTGACCAATGTGACTCTTGTAGGGAGATCTTTTCAAAGGTTGCTTGCTGATGAAGAACGTGATCGTTTCAACGAATTTATCGAAACTTCCACTCAACCATCTGGCGTGTCCAGGCCGAATGATTCAGCACTTCCTTCGTGCTTAAGGGTTTCTTTCCGGGATTCTGCAGGGATCAAGGTTGGTGCGGACATTTACCATGTATCTGTTCCAGGCCTTTTTGGTGCGAAGGAACCACATCATCTCATGGCTTTCAAGGAGGATCCCGAATCCCG